TATGCTATGCTGCGCTGTGTTATGCTGTGCTGTGCTGCGCTATGCTATGCTATGCTATGCTATGCTGCGCTATGCTTTGCGTTGCTTGTGCTTTGCTTTGCTGTCGCTGATGTTGATTCGCCTTTGTTTTGCTGCTATGCTATGCTATGCTATGCTATGCTATGCTGTGCTATGCTATGCTATGCTATGCTATGCTATGCTGCGCTGTGCTATGTTGTGCTGTGCTGTGATGCGCTATGCTAGGCTATGCTGTGCTGCGCTATGCTATGCTATGCTGGGCTATGCTATGATATGCTGTGCTGCGCTATGCTGTGCTACGCTATGCTATGCTATGCTGTGCTCTGCTATGCTAAAGCTCAGCGAAGCTAATATGAAGGTAAGCTAAGCTAAGATAAGCCAGAGCTAAGATGAAGCTAAGCTTAGCTAAGATGAAATAAGCTAACCTAATATGAGATAAGCAACGCTAAGCTAAGGGGACGTAGCTGGGGGAACCGCGGGCCGGATCCTGGGGGAACCGCCCAGGGCGATTTACACTGCCCGGCCCTTTAAGCTCTAAAACAAGAACCCTTCTAGGCAGAGCCTAGGTAGGGAATGACGAGCCCCAATCTGAAATTTGTCGCGAGATCCCGCTGCGAACGCCCCACGAACACCAGACCGTCAAAATCTATGGCGCGCTCGTCAAAAAACGTCGGCAAGCCCGAGTTCCGGCTTACTCGAGTCTTTCGTTTCCCCAACCCTTCGGGTCTTCGGGGGGCCCACCGCTCTGCCCTGTCCTCCTCCAGCCCCCTCCTGTTTCGCCCCCCCACCCAGCAGGAGGAGGAGGAGGAGGAGGAGGAGGAGGAGGAGGAGGAGGAGGAGGAGCTTCCCCCTCCTCGTGGGCCTCGGCGAGCACCTGCTCCAGCGGCCGGCCATCGTCCACCAGGAGCCGCAGCCGCAGGCACAGGGGCTCCAGCGGCGCGCACAGGATCTCCGGCGCCGGCGCTGGGGCCATGGCGCCCTCGGACTCCATGCGGCAACGGCGGAAGAACAGAGAGCGGCACAGACATCGAGCAGGTGGATCGACGACGGAATCGATCCACTCAGTGTCCTGCAATAATTCTGGGCCCCGGGACTACAGGTACCCCCCAGACTAGAGGTACCCCCTCCCCGGACTACAGGTACCCCTCCCCCGGACTACAGGCCCCCCCTCCAGGACTACAGGTACCCCTCCCCCGGACTACAGGTCCCCCCCAGGGACTACAGGTACCCCCACAGGACTACATCCTCGCGTGCGTTGACGCGTGAACACGCGTTCTCCCCCAGACTGCTGGTACCCCCCTGGACTACTGGTACCCCTCCCTGGACTGCAGGTACCCTCCCCGGACTACAGGCACCCCAGAATTATTGAGGGACACAGAGTACCGCAGAATTGTGTTCCTCATCGAATTGCAGCATCGTCTTTTCTCGTCGCATCATCTTCGAACAAATCGAGGAATGCCCCGTAGATCTGCGGGGCAGTCTGCGTCGCTCTCGTAGGTCGAACGGGAACATCAAGTTTGGGGTGCACCAGTTCTGCGGGGCATCCTGCATCTTTTCGAAGATTCGGCGAGAAACACAGATTTTGGGGCACGATCCCCTGCTCGAAGACATGACCTTTCTGGGGCCCGCGCAGGCCTCTCGGATGTTGACACTGGGCCTCCCTGCCCCTGATGGGGGCGGGGGTGGGCAGCGCTGAAAGAGGGGCAACGCGCGGGGGGGGGGGGAGGGACCAGTTCCCGAGTCGGCGCCAGCAGACGAGAAGCAGGACTTTCTCATCAGGAGCACGTCTCTGAAGAAGCGAGACGGCGACGAGGAGTGATACCGAATCACTCCGAGCTGTGATGAAGACCGAGACCGCCACTGCAATCGGTCCCCTGAAAGACGAGATGGCCGACTTCCGGGCACGCGTTGCCGATGGATCGGCGAGGCACGCCCCCGATGAGGCATCCGCACGTTCCTGGGCGTGGTGGCCTACAGCCAACCCGTATCAGAAGGATCCACGGTGAGGCTGCAGGAGCCATGTTCACGCTCTTCGAGCGAGGTTGGCCGGCGAAAGTCGCTGAGGACGGGCCGACGGGGCAAGGATGCAAGGGTACCGCTTGGGAAGGTGGCCCATCCTCCCTGTGCGGGCTGACTGCATCGGCCCCCCGGCGGCGATGAGTGGCCACTCTAGGGGTCGATGAACTCCGCGCGGGCCGCCGAGCGTTTCTGCCCGTGCCGCCGTGTGTTCTTCGAGATGCCGGGGGGGCGTGCGAAGGTGGGGTAGGGGCCAAAGGTGGGGCTGGAGGGAACGTCGCTCGAAACGCTTCTTGAAGGGAGGACGCGCGAGCATCCGGCTGGGCTTGTTCCCCAGCTCGGCGGGGCGCACAAGGGGGGAAGGGGGAAGGGTGAAGGCTTCTTAGAAGGAGGCTGCTGCTTCTTTGAAGGGCCCGGCCTTACATCGACAGACAAGGCCCGCGCCTTCCAAGAAGCAGGGGTGCTTCTAAGAAGCCTTGCCCCCTCCCCCTACCCCCCTCTGCGCGTGGCCGACCAAACCCCACCTCGGGTTGACCCCTCCCTCTACGAACCCCCAGCTATAGAGATGGTAGCAAACGCCTGGGCGGACGCGGCCCGCGCGGCCAGCGCGCTGCTTCGCGGCCGCCAGAGAGGTTCGCGCGGTGTGCAGGTGGCCGACGCCGGTGCGCTCGTCGCAGACGACGGTGCGGTGAAGGCCGCCGTCGATGACGCAGGTGACGTCGGGGATAGTCACCGATGTCTCGGCGATGTCCGTGGCGAGCACCACCTCCGGAGGCCTCCCCGAGGGGTCCGAGCAGATGGAGATCGGCAGGTCGCGTCGCATCGCCGAGGCATCGGCATCGCCAGCGTGGAGAAGGACGGGCTTCACGTCGAGTGGACCCCTCCTCCTCCTCCTCCTCCTCCTCCTCCTCCTCCTCCTCGTCCTCCTCCTCCTCCTCCTCCTCCTCCTCCTCCTCCTCCTCTCTCCTCCACCTTCTCTCCTCCTCCTCCTCCTCCTCCTCCTCCTCCCTCTCCTCTCTCCTCCTCCTCCTCCTCCTCCTCCTCTCCTCCTCCATCCGCATCATCATCATCATCATCATCATCATCATCATCATCATCATCATCATCATCATCATCATCATCATCATCATCATCATCATCATCATCATCATCATCATCATCATCATCATCATCATCATCATCATCATCATCATCATCATCATCATCATCATCATCATCATCATCATCATCATCATCATCATCATCATCATCATCATCATCATCATCATCATCATCATCATCATCATCATCATCATCATCATCATCATCATCATCATCATCATCATCATCATCATCATCATCATCATCATCATCATCATCATCATCATCATCATCATCATCATCATCATCATCATCATCATCATCATCATCATCATCATCATCATCATCATCATCATCCTCATCATCGCCATCATCCTCATCATCCTGCTGCTGCTGTTGCTGCTGCTGCTCTTCCTCCTCTTTTGCATCCCTGATGCATCGGCGATGCGGCGCGCGATCCCACGACCATCTACTCGGATCCCACTTGGGAGGTCTGGAACCTTCGTCACTCCTCCAGGGGGGCGGGCAAACGCGGCACGCTGGTCGGCGGCGGAGAGCTGCGAGTGCAGCGGCAGCACCTTCAGGCCACCTCGCCGCGCTGCGGGACAGCGCTCCAGCGCACACAGCATGTCGTCAATCTCACGCACGCCAGGCAAGAAGACGAGGATGGCGCCATCACCACCGCCGCCGCCACCGTCGCCTGACGAGTGATGCATGCAGACAAGAGCCTCCACCAACTCCTCGTTCACAACCGAGAGATCCATCGCGCGGAGCGAGCGCGCAACCGTGCCAGACGGGTACAAACTCTGTGTTCCGCTTGCGCCAAGCGACCGGAGCCAATCGGAGGCCGCCGCGCCAATGGCCCCTACCAGAAAAATAGCAAACTACACGTCGTTCATTTCTAGTCGTGTTCATTTCTAACTGTGCTCGTTTCTAATTGCTCCTGACCCCCTGGTGGCCAGGAAGAGGCCCAGGATACAACAATTAGACATGAAAGGATCTTGGCCCCCCCAAAATGAAAGAACTCTCGAGTAATGAGAAATGAACAATGTGTACTGGCGCGCACAAGGGGGTGGGGGGAGTGGGGAGGGCTTCTCAGAAGGAAGCTGCTTCTTGGAAGGCGCCGGCCTTACATCTGTAGAGAAAGCGCGCGCCTTCTAAGAAGCAGGGTGTGCTTCAAGAAGCCCTCCCCCTCCCCCCACCCCCCCCATGCGCGTGGCTGACAATGGCCCCTACCAGAAGAAGAGTGAACTACGTCAGCATCAACGTTCGGAGGTCCGCGCGGATTTCTCTGGATTTCTCGGGTTGGCCCTCCTCTGGGCACCCCGCCCCCCTCTCCCGGGCGGCATACTGGGCGGCGCTGGAGGCGCCGCCCAGTATGCCGCTCCGAGAGAAGTCCGCGCGGCCCTCCGAAGGTATGCCCATGCCGCCTCTGGCCCTCCCTCGGCCTACGGCTGTGGAGAACGATGAATGGAGAGGCAGCGCGTTGCCAAACAATTTCCAGATGTCTGGAAAATGGTGACAAACTGTGCAGCCATGTAAAAAAGCATGTTTCGAACATTTTAGAACATAGTATACACACTTTTCCAATTCAACGATCGGATGGTTAGGGTGTCCATTGTCATGGCATCCACAAGCCTACGGCGTGGGACGCCGAGGCCGCGTTCGCGAGCTTCTTCGCCCGCACGGCGAGGATCTCGGCCTTGGCCGCGGTCGTGGTCCCCGCGGCGGCCTCGTCGGCGGCGGCCCGGGCCGCGGCCTCTGCGGCAGCGGCCGCGGAGGCGGCGATCGCCCTGTCGCTCTGTGAGGGCTCCTCTGGCCAGAAGGCTGGACCAAAAAACGCTGTCTTCCGCGGTGCCTCCGTTCTGCTTTTCGTCCTGCTCGGCCTTCTGTGCCCGCAGCTCCCGGCCAGAACGGAACACAGAACGCGGCCGCGGTCCAGCAGCACAGCGTTTGGGTCCAGCCCTGCCTCTGGCAGCGGGGCCTCGCGGGCCCAGGCGGACGAGGCGGCGCAGAGGTAGCCGCTCGCCTCGAGGGCCTCCTCGAGGAAGCGCTCCTGCACGGGGAACGTGCGCCCGGGCACGGTGCACACGCCGACGCTCCTCGGGCGGGCGGCCTCGCCGCCGAAGTACGCGCTCAGGGTGTCGACGTCCGCGGTGGCGGACATCAGGATGACCTTGGGTTGTGGATGCCACGGCAATGGACACCCTAACAATCCTATCATTGAATTTAGGGATGTGCTTAAAATGTGTGAGACATGTTCTAAACGTGCTTCAAGCATGCTGTTTTACATGTCTAAAACATGTTTAACACATGTTTTAGACATCTGGGAATGATTTGGCAGCCTGCTTCCTCTCCATTAATCGACTTCCACAAACCTTGGGGAAGGGGTGTGCGACACGAGCAAGCGCCCGACGCAGTCCGAGAAGCAAGAGGTCAACGTCAACGGAGCGCTCGTGCACCTCGTCGACGACCACGTGCGAGAAAGAGGGCAGTCGAGGCTCAGACTCAAGGTGCCTTAGCAATAGTCCCGTCGTCACAAAGGTAATTGCGGTCGACGGACTAACCCGCGACTCGCCGCGGATCCGCCACAGCACCTCTTGCCGCATGGGCGTGGAATCATGCCGAGTGCCGTCTGGAAGGGCTTGGGAGGTTTCTGAAGACCCCTTCCCCCCCACACCCACGCGCGTGCACCCACCCCTGCTCGAGGCTCCCTGGGCGCAACAAAGCCGCCCTGGCCCTCACAAGGCGCCCCAAGACTTCCAAGACGGCCCAGGAAGGACACCCAAGGCCACCACGATGGTCTTAAATTGCCTACAAAGCGGTGCAGCAGCCCCCAAGAGGCGCCCGAGAGGCCCAAAGAGACTTTCTCAAAGCCCAGAGCCCAGAGAGACGATCCGGATGATCTCCAGGAGGTCCTAGATATGGCCAAGAATACAGAATGTCAAAAGGGTGTTGAGCTGGCTATTTCCAACATGTCGGGGCCAAGGTGGCTCCAGAGGTGGCTGGTAGGGCACCAAGAACCCGAGAGAGCCCCAGATGGCCCGAAACAGCCCCCAAAGCGCCCTAAGACAACCCTAAGAGCACCCCAAGACTGCCTAAGAGGGTAAACAAAGTAAATCAATACTCGAAGCGGTAACAAGATAGCATGGCAGAGACCTGCAAGAACCCCAAGATGGCCCAATAGGCCCTTCAAGCGACATGCCCGCTAGGCGGCCCAAGATGACCCCCAAAATGGCCTCAGACGCCACGGAAGGCCACTCAGAGGACTCTCGAACAATCGTTCGGGCTCTGCGGAAAGCACCCGTCCCATATCACGGCCGTCTCAAGGCCGATGCCTTCGGGCGCCTCCTGCCTTCTTCCCAGCACTCGGCCTTTTTCCTGCTTTCCGACTCCTCTTCTTCCTTGTCATCCTGCTCTTCTGTATCCTCCTCCTCCTCTCCCTCCTCCTGCATGCTATAGAGTTCACCCCCGCTTGGAAAGTGAAGGTTGCATTCTACGGCATCCGAGATCGAGGGAAGAGGGACGCCACATATCAATTCCGCTCTGGGCCCGGCGCGGGCAACTTCCGAGTGCTGCGGCCTTCTGTAACCTGACCTGCTCGGAGGATAGCCTCGCCTAGCTCTACGCTGGCACGGTGTTGGAATGTGCCGCAGGCGCCTGGATGCGATACCCGCACAGACCGCCCACACCCGCATCGTCCACCAGCTCCGCAGCCACGCGGTCCGCCAGCGCCGTTGCTGCCAGGCGCCGTGGCTGCGCGACGATGACGCGGCACGCGAGATCACGAGCAGCAGCGTCTGCGAGCAGCAGCTGCGGGACCTGAGTGCTCTTTCCACAGCCTGTGGCGCCCTGCACGATCGTAACGTCGTGGGAGCTCACAGACTCTAAAAACTCTGCTCGGTGGTCGTACATGGGTAGTGTGTGTCTCACCTGAGCAATCATATGCGAACGCTGCCCCCTGCAGCTCAAATTTACGAGACGCTGGTTGGGGTTCAGAATTCGAAGTATGCGTGTAGCCGGGAGTGCTCGATACCCCAGCGTCGATGGGACCTGCAGGGGTAGGGTTCGCAGTTGGTTGCAGATCACCTGCATCATACGAGCGTGGCCTGGCAGTTGCGAGAGCCGCGACAGTTCTGCCTTCAGCGCGGCCGCATTGGATGCAAGCTCGACTTTATCTGGCGCGCGTGCTCGAGGCTCCACAAGCACATCACGTGCATCCCCTGCAGCACATTGCGAGTCCGCCAAGTATCTCGCCAGTGCCGACCGGTCAGACTCCCCGAGAGCAATGGTCGTCGGGCACGCTGCAGTCAAGGACGTGCCTGCTTGCGACGTCATACGGACATATGGCTGTGGCTGGATGTGTGGCTGGTGCTGCGATGGCTCGATAAGGCTTGGGACACATTGCTCCAACATATAACAGCATCCTTGCGCCTGCCCGCTGGTCGAGAAAGCCTCTGCTTCCGATCGGCAAAAATTCGCGCGTCCCACAATGGGATGGAAACTGCTTAAGCTCTCGGTTTGGTGCGCTTGCTGTCATGCCTCTTGGTTGCGGTGTTTGGGCGTTGGCTTACTGACAATGCCGTTGGCTCATGGTTTCTCGTTCATTGCGTATGTTTTCTTCTCTGTCTCCGATCCCTGTCTCTCGTATGTCGTGTCTAGTTTGCAACCGGTGTCGACATCTCTGCGGCGTGCCTCTTCATCATGTCTATTTTCTCCATCAGATGTCTCGCTTGCCTGGTCACAGGCAACGTCGGGGCTTCCAAAAAAACTATATCGGAACCACCCTCTCAAATAATCATCCACGCATGATCAGCCGTCCATGACGGTCCATCAACCGTTCTATCCGTAATTCATTTCTGACTCGGTTCGGGGGCTTGAACCGACCTTCTGAGTACAGTCGGACCATGGCGACCATGGCCACAGGAGAGGTGATCAAGAACACAAGTTCCTTCGCCGAACGCCCACGGCCACATGGAGACACCCAAAAGAAAGAACTCGAGGTGTCGGAAACTGTTAAACAACACCCTAGAGTGACATATGGTTTGAACTTCTCCCCTCCCCCCGAAGGAAATCTTGGTTTCGGATATCCCGAAATACTTGGTTAGAGGAGAAACGCAAAATCGCCCAGGGCAGTACCGCTCAAAAGGCTGCGGGACATGAATTTGGCATTTGGTGCTAGGAAGTTTGCCCTCCAAGAGGGCGCGCTTCTTCTTGCACTTACTTGGCTCACATTTCGACCTCAGCTGAATGCAGTTCTCCTCCCCACTTCTCCGCATCCTTCCGCCCTCCTCCGTACTCCGTCGCACTCGTCCTCACCCTTCCGTCTCCCGCACTCCTCCCTGCTTGTTCGCACCCCTCCCCTTTCTTCCTTGCCTTCCGCACACTGTCCAAATCAATTCCGCTCCTTTCCATCCCTCCACACTCCTCCCCAAGTCCTCCCAATCCTCCCCACGTCTCAGCATTCCGTCGCACTCCTCCCCATTCCTCCCCATCCCCCACTTCTGGTCCCACTCCGCTGTGCCTCCCCTTCACTCTCCGGTCTCCTCCCCGCCCAGCCCTTCTGCCTGCACTTCCTCCCGCTGTTCCCGCCCCGCTTTCCCGTTTTCTCTTGTCCCTCCCCTGTTCCCCATCCTCCATTCGTTAGCCTCCCGAGCCTCCTAACCCTCAACTCCCTATCCCACCTACCTTCACCCTGCCTTCCCGCAAACGCTGCAGGTGTCGGAAACAATTAAGCAGCAATCACGCATAGCATATGGTTTGAACTTCCCCACCCCTCCCCGACTGCAGTGTTGGTTTCGGAACTGCCGAGTTTGAGCGTCCCAGCGGTAGTGCTACAAACTTTGAACTGCGGGGGAGGGGGCAATGTTGCGTAGTCGTTTCCCCCAACCGTCTCCAAGGCGGAGACCTCAAACACGACGAGCGTAAGGGTAACCCTCGAGGGCTAGCGTTGGGCTCGGTGCCAGCTGCATGTCGATCCACCAACTGCGACCTGCCAGCAGGATCACCTCGGCGACTGCAGCGTAGACCGTGTGGGGTCCCGCGGGGGAAGAAAGTTCCGCCGCGCGCCGAGGGACACAGCGGTTCTACGGATCGAGAACCCCCCATCGCTCGGACGTCCCTTCCTCGTGCACTTTCGGCTTCCATTGGTATGTGTCCTACTCTTTTCCTCCTCCTCCTTCTCCTCCTCCTCCTCCTCGTTCTCGCCGCTCCTCTCCTCCTCCTCCTCTCCGCCTCCTCCTCTGCCTCCTCATCCACCGTCTCCTCCTCCGCCTCCTCCTCCTCCTCCTCCTCCCTCCTCCTCCTCCTCCTCCTCTTCCTCCTCCTCAGCCTCCTCCTCCTCCTCCTCCTGCTGACTCCTCCTCCTGACTCCTCCTCCTCCTCCTCCTCCTCCTCCTCCTCCTCCTCCTCCTCCTCCTCCTCCTCCTCCTCCTCCCCCTCCTCCGCGGACCGAGAAGGGGAACAAAAGTCCTTGGCGAGGGTTCGGGCACGGCTCAAGCATGCGCAACGGTGGCGGCCTTCGTGCTCGGGTCGGCGCCCCCCCCCACTTCCCCTCAAGGCCTCCTGAAACATAGCCTCCCGAGGGCCTCCCGAAGGCCTCCCTCGACCCCTCGAGGCTTTCCCTCAAGCCCCCCCGCCGCCGCTTCCCTCAGGGCCCCCTCCCCTCAAGGCCTCCCGAAGGCCTCCCCTCAATGCTCCCCTCAGGGCCCCCCCCCTCGCCCCTCGACTCAAGGCCCCCTCCCCCTCAAGGCCTCCCGAAGCACAGCCTCCCTCCTGGACCTGGGGGCGGCCGGTGCGGCATCTGTTAGCATGGGCAGGACAAACTTTTGGCGCTCCGCGCGGATTGCTCGGATCTGCGCTGGACCCGCCTCCCTGGCGCGCGGAGCGTTCCAGGGGCGGCGCCGGAGGTGCCGGCAGGGGGGCCCAGCGCGGATCCACGAAATCCGCGCGGAGCGTCAAAAATTTAAGTGAAGGGGCCCTGGGACACACAAATTAATACATACGAATAACAGGATTCCCAACATTTTTCAATATTTTCATATTTTCGTATATTTTCCTTGGAATCGACGATCAATTGTGTCTGCGTGTTTCTTTTCCTCCTAATTCTGTTCGTGGCGTTTTTTCTTCGAGTGCGGGAAGCGGGTCCTGAGGGGGACACGGGTCGTGGGGCCCTGGGGCCTTTCTCCAAGACGAGTTTCTCATCCTGAGTCGTCTTCTGACAGTCTTTAAGTCGGGCATGTCCCTCTAGAGGGGGGATATTCAAAAATAGCAAAAAAGTCTGGGACCATTGCTTGATTATTTTTGACAATTTTGAAATATTTCTGGGGTATTTTTAATTTTTTGTGTCCAAAATCCCCCCCTGTAGGGAGGGGGACAGGCCCGACCTAATGACAGTCCTGGGTCCCGTGGAGGGCCCCGAGAAGCCGAAGACAGCGAAACACCTCAGGACCCGTTTCCCTCAGGGCCCGTTTTCCCCCCGTTGCGAATCCTGCCGGTTGCCGATCTCAGGCGTAGGACCTGTCCTGAAATATTCAGAAGGCCAAAGCGTGCCAACCACGCCATGGCTCCTCCCCACATGGCCTTCCGAAGACCCGAGGTCCGGGGTGGCCAGTGCGACGTCTTGCCGATTGCCGCCCTCAAGCGTAGGTGGACCAGAAGATTAAAGACATCACCCCAACTACGGCCCCAGGGAGCTTATCGGGATCCACCACAGGGGGGGTAACCCTGAGGGGGGGCACGAGTTCGATCCGCTCTTGCACCGAACCGCCGCCAACAGATGCCTCCCGCATGCCCAACCTGTCGGCAACTATCGGGAGCTGCAGGCGGCTGGGGAGGCATCTGTTTTGGGCGGCTCGGTGCAAAAGCCGATGCCCCCTCTCGCGGGATCCCGACAGGGTGCGCAGCGCACCCCAGGAAACCTGGCGTGAGTCTCTGCGTGGTGTGCGCCGCGGCCCCCGATGGGCCGTAGCGCAACATGGAGGGCCGCAGGTGGGAGTGGTGTCGTTTGCTTTTTCTGTCGCGTAGGATTGAGTCGGGCCCGTCCCTCTACAGGAGAAATCTTCAAAAATAGTAAAACAATAGTCTGGGGACTCTTTTTTGGTTTTTTGGTTGGGGGGGGACAATTTTGGAGTATGTTTGGAGTATCTTTAATTTTTCGTCGAGAATCCCCCTGTAGGGGGACACGCCCGACTTAAGCGTAGGATCTGTCACAAAAGGTTCGGAAGGCCAAAGAAAGCGTGCCAACCACTCCATCGCCCCCCCCCGCCTCCCCAGCCCCCGACCCTCTTCCAAGGCCCCCATTCCCCAAGCGCGGTGGCGGAATCGAGCAGCAGCGCAACTGGATGTATGCACATAGCGAGCGACGCGCGCATGCTTTCTGAAGGAGAGAGAGAGAGAGAGAGAACAAACAAAAGAGAAACAAAAAAGAAGAAGAAAGAAACAACAAAAAGAAAGGAATAGGGAGAGATAGAGCGAGAGAGAGAGAGAGAGACAAAAAAAGAAATAGAGAAACAAGAAGAGGGAGGGAGGGAGAGATATTGCGACAGCGGAACGTCCCCATATCCAGTCTTCACCGCAGCGTGAAACGCTCAGTCGCCAGGCAACCTCCCGTGGGCGGCGGACTCGTGCACTCGGTGGCCTGGGAGACAGGGCGGGCCCTGCGGGAAGGGAAGCGTCGGTGATGGAAGGAGGGCGAACTAACAGAACGAACTATGGAACTAAAGTGCTCGCAGTCCTGTCAAATGCCAGGTCTGGAGCACGCTCCGCACGGCGACGGGAGACAGCATCCGCAGTCACCGACGGCGCCTAAGCAAAATCGTGCCGGAGTCATCGAGTCATCGGCACGGAAGCACACACAGAGGCAGATCGAGTGACGTGCGCATGTGTGGACTCTGGTGCGCGTGAACGCGCCACGTTCGAGCTGTCTGTCTTGCGCGTGCGTCTCCAGTCGGAACGTCGCCGGTCGTTCGCAATGTCGCTCTCGCCTCGGCACCTGGCACAGCCATGCCCTCCTCATGAGAAGAACACCGCGCGCTTCGCGCGCGCGGTCGAGTTCTGTATGCATTAACGCGTCTCTCAGCCTGCCCTGCAGCGCTGAAGACCTGCGGTGCCCCGAAGCGAAAGAAGGGAGAAGAGGACGGGTCAGATCGAGGAGGAGATGAGACGGAGGAGGAGGAGGGATCGGGGAGGGGGGCATGTGAAGATGATAACGAAGGGGGAGGGAAGGGGGGAGGATGAAGAGGAGAGGAGAAGGAGGAGGAAAAAAGAGGGGGAAAAGGAACAGGATCAGGATGAGGAAGAGGAGGGACTAGAATAAGGCCACTATACATCAACGAGGCTACAATGCACCCTTCCGTCACAATCTCACCATCATATGTCCGTACCTC